TCCTTTATCTTTTTCTTATCTGTGAAGCTCTTTATCTGACCTTCAATTCTGAATGATAGCTTTGCTGGATAAAGTAATCTTGGTTGTAGGTTCTTGGCATTCATCACTTTGAATATTTCTTGCCACTCCCTTCTGGCCTGCAAAGTTTCTGTTGAGAAATCAGCTGACAGTTGTATGGGTACTCCCTTGTATAAGATGACAGCTCAGGATAAGAAAAATTTTAATTTCATGACTTTTGTTCAACCAGAATTGTTCAAAATCTTAATCAGTTGCCTTTTACATCAGGAAATAAGGCTTGTGATTAACTCTGCCTGTGCATAAGAACGGGCTCAGATCCACTGTTAAAATTTTTTTAAATTTCCACCCGTTAATGTAACTTCGTGGCCTCAGCTCTTTAGGAAAAGGTTTTCATTGGAGAGTACCTTGATTACTTAAGAATGGGGATATTTTAGCTCAGCTTCCCAGAGGCCTCAGCTCCATTTTAGATTGCTCTCTTAACAATAACAACTCCATATTTCTGTTTTTCTTTCTTTCCCCCTTCTGTTTTCCATAGTGGCTGCATTTCCACCAGCAGTGTACTAGCCCTTTTCTCCCACATCCTGGCCAGCACTTGTCATTTGTTGATGGTAGCCATTCTAGCAGGTGTGAGGTGATACCTGATTGTCATTTTAATTTTCATCTCTCTGATGATTAGTGACTTTGAGCATTTTTTCATAGGTCTCTTGGCCATCTGTATGTCTTCTATGGAGAAGTGTTTAGGTCCTTTGCCAATTTTTAAAAGTATATTTATGTTGATTTCAGACAGGAAGCGAAAGAGAAAGGTAGAAACATCAATGATGAGAGAGCCATTGACGCTGCCTCCTTCATGCCCCACATTAGGGATTGAGCCCCCAAACCGGGCATGTGCCCTGACTGGGAATTGAACCGTGATTTCCTGGTTCATAGGTCGACGCTCAACCACTGAGCCATGCAGACTGGGCATTACATTTTCCCCTTTCTATCCAGATCTTTACTTAGAAAGTATGGGCCAGCCATTAGGAAGTGTATTTGGTCTGTCATTGAAAAACAACATTGATCCCTCATCTCCAGGAGGGCTCATTTCAAGTATGTCATAGCCCACGTACAAGGTAAGTGGTCTCCTGAGTGTACAAGAGCGTATGGCCACATTTGAGCAACAAGGGGGCTTGGAAACAAGGCTAAATCATATTTTTCATATGTAAAGAAATGTATTGCTATTTATTAAGAATTGTTAAATTTTGGAGGAACAGTTAGGGAGAAAAGTATATAATTAAATTGTTTTAGAGATTTTTTTATATTTGAAAAAAAAAGTTTAAGAATTAGCAATACTGCCGAAACCGGTTACAGACTTTCCAACCAAGTCCCATACTTCCCCATGTCTCCCTTTTTGTTTTGCTGGCTGCAGAAAACGGAGGCAGCAAACTTTCTACTTTGGAAGGTTGGGGTCTGCTCAAGTTTTGATTTTGTAGACTATAAGAAAAACAAAGAGAATTACAATGACAGCAATGGTTAGTCCAATCAGGTACCAATGGATTGTAGGAAACCATGT